ATTTGTAAGGTTTCTCTTCCGTATGTGTTCCTTGTGAAATTTTAGACTTCCAACTTCAGTAAAAGAAGCATAACACACATCATATTTGTAAGGTTTCTCTCCTGTGCAAGTTCTACTGTGATGGTTTAGATTGCAAGCTTTAACAAAAGAAGCACCACATACTTCTCACTGGTAAGGTTTCTCTCCCGCATGTGTTCGGTTTTTCCCCTCTATATATTCTCTTTTGAATGTTCAAGTTTATAATGGAGTGATAAGACCCCACTTGGAGTTTGGTGCAACAGCATGGTCAACAGCTGCTAGTTCCCATCTACAATCATTAGACAGAGTGCAAAATCAAGCCCTTAGACTCATCACAGGATCCATGAAAACTGCACCAATCCTAGAGATGCAGAAAATAACTGCAATGCAGACACTGTCCTATAGAAGAGACACTAAAACTATGATCCACCTTTGTGCCCTTGTCGGCTATGTGTGCAGACTACAGAAGATGTCCTGCAAGACTGTCCCTTGTTCAGCCCATTAAGAAGGGAATACTGGCCCAGTGAGTCACCACTGCACACAAAGTTGTATGGGACTTGAAAGGAACATAAAAACAGTCAAGTTTATCACAAGAACCTGTCTGTCGGTGTAAATCAGAAAGTGAACACAAGAAGAATGAATGTTCAGATGGGCACTAGAGTAAAAGATGTGCCATACACAGCACATTTGTTAGGTTTCTCTCCTATATGTGTTTTCTTATGACTTTTCAGAATACAAGGCAGAATAAAAGAACATCCACAAAGATCACATTTGTAAGGTTTCTCTCCTGTATGTGTTCTCTTATGAACTTGTAAATCGTTTTTACGAGTAAAAGAAGAACCACACAGATCACATTTGTAAGGTTTCTCTCCTGTATGTGTTTTCTTATGACCATTGAGATGGCCAGCTCTAGTGAAAGATGCACCACACACATCACACTGGTAAGGTTTCTCTCCTGTATGTGTTCTCTTATGAACTTCTAAATCGCTTTTACGAGTAAAAGATGTACCACACAGATCACATTTGTAAGGTTTCTCTCCTGTATGTGTTCTCATATGAACATTGAGAGGGCCAGCTCTAGTGAAAGATGCAACACACATATCACAGTGGTAAGGTTTCTCTCCCGTATGTGTTCTCTTATGAACTTCTAAATCGCTTTTACGAGTAAAAGATGTACCACACATATCACATTTGTAAAGTTTCTCTCCTGTATGTATTCTCTTATGAACTTTCAAAGAGCTTGCACTAGTAAAAGAAACACCACACAGATCACATTTGTAAGGTTTCTCTCCTGTATGTGTTCTGTTATGACGTTTTAGTTTGCCAGCTTCAGTAAAAGAAGCAACACACAGACCACATTTATAAGGTTTCTCTCCTGTATGTGTTCTCTTATGAACTTTCAAAGAGCTTGCACTAGTAAAAGAAGCACCACACAATTCACATTTGTAAGGTTTCTCTCCTGTATGTGTTCTGTTGTGACATTTTAGACTGCCAACTTCAGTAAAAGAAGCACTACACAAATTACATTTGTAAGGTTTCTCTCCTGTATGTATTCTCTTATGAACTTTCAGATTGCCAGAAATAGTAAAAGATGTGCCACACACATTACATTTGTAAGGTTTCTCTCCTGTATGTGTTCTGTTGTGACATTTTAGACTGCTAGCTACAGCAAAAGAAGCACCACAAACATCACATTTGTAAGGTTTCTCTCCTGTATGTGTTCTCTTATGAAAGTTCAGACTGCTAGCTTGAGCAAATGAAGAACCACAAACATCACACTTGTAAGGTTTCTCTCCTGTGTGTTTTATTTTGTGACGTTTAAGATGATCACGCCGAGTAAAAGCACCACCACAATCATCACATTTGTAAGGTTTCAGAAAACCAACTTCGTTAAATGCAACATCACAAGTGGAATGTTTGTAAGATGTATCCGTCCCATGCATTTTAAAGTATGCACTGTCACTTGAATCACATCCATCAGACATGTCTGGTGTTTGAGTTTTTTGCGGATTACTACTGGACATGTCAACAGTAAAATCATCAAACCTTCCAGAGGTCTGTGTATGCCTAACGAAAGTGTCATTGTTATAAAACTGTAAATTCTCATTCGTCAAAGATGGATTCTTATTTATTTCAACCACAGAAGACACTTTTTCATATATATGATTATAATTTTCTAGTTTAAATGACATGTTACAACTAGCGTCTGTTGCCCTTAGTCCCGTGTTACTCTTTCCTGCCATTTCTTGCAAGTCATTAGAACTTATAATGCCTACCACATTAATGAATCCATGACTCTTGTCCTCACACAATGTATCTGACAGTTCTTGTTTCACAAGCTTGAAGTCTGTGGCATGGTACCTTTCCATTTGTGAATGCTCTTGTGTGATGATGGAAGGATAACTTTGAGAACTTGAGTTTATCTCTGAAATACATAATAGTAAAAGTTTGTATTTATAATTTTATGGACACAACAGAAACAAGAGGTAGCGTGGTGCAGAAGTTACAAAATCTACATCTTAACTTGAGAAGACCAGGTTCAATTCACAGCAAAGATTGTATGGGTTTTATACAGTAAGAAAAAGAATGGTATTCTTCTGACACTACAGTAGTGGATCAGACATCTAACTTTCTTGGACAAGGTCAAAAGACTTGAAGGACCCATTTTTGTGATCCATATATTAAAGAATACTTCATCAGTCACAAATCTATGTAGGTTGACAAGCATCAGCATTAATGGAGATATGGTCTTTGTCACATTACTGTGGAGACAGACTCTATATGTGATTTACAAAATATATAAAAATAGTCCCTAAGTTGCATTTTAATTTAACAATCTTACGTTATATTTGGAGAATTTCATCAACTGGAAAGGATGAGTTAAAGCTTAAGAAGATTTAACTAGTTAGTTTAACAAAACATATCACGATCTTGGGTTATATCTCGAGATGTGCTAGTTAAGTAATATCTCTACCTAACTTAGTGATGCCAACTCCCATACAGAACCTTTGGGAGAGCGAAAAGGGAGCTGGCACTACTTGGCCAGCTTTCAACCATACTAGATATGTGGTCAAAGTTTAATTCTTAAGTTCTGGATTTCAGATGCATAAAAAAAGAGGTTGTGATCTTTACTGAGACCTTAGATTTGACCCTGACCTTTATCTTTATCATTGTATTTTTATTCTGCCTCGTGTATACGTTGATGATCATATGATAGCAGGCAGAAGTTGTAGTCCAGAAGCTTGGATGTGTTGTGAGGCCCTGTAAAAACTGTCAACAGTCAACTACCAAAGCAAGAAGGGTTATACAAGACACCATTCCACAACATGCTCATTCATCCTGTATATGGTCTATGACTTGTAGTAGGATCACACCCAATTATGAAAAATTGTGTGTTAGACAGTGTTCAGTCTTTGAACTTTTATTGAAAATTTGTGAACTAGAACAGTTATCTTCAGTGCCTAAGATATTACTGATAGTCAGACCACTACAATGGTACACTGACTGACGTTCTACCCCACCAGGACATCACACAAGCGATAAACACCCGACGACACAATGTGCAACCATGTGGATGAGGATCACTGCGGAGAGGTCACAGAACCGCATTCAGCCATTAGGCCATATTTATGGCCTGGCTATATTGCGGCCCCTAGCGAGAGCCAGGGTGGGGCTTCAAATAACGAAAAATTTCATCCTAAAAAGGACGGCAAGATATGCTTGACAATGGTACGCAAGAGATGCTCATTAATGTGCCAACTACAGATGTACACTTATGCTTTCATTCCTTGACTGTGTATCAGCCAACCTGTGAGGAATCAGAAACTGAATCACCACCAGATCTTCAGAGCTCTGGAAGGTGAAGTATCTGGCACCACTTTCTAGCTAGCTCCATGGGGAATATTTCATGAATCTATTTTGTGTGTACTCCATCCACACCACTACTCCACTATAATGATATTGTCTGTTCTCTGTTCTATCATGGAAATTGCTGTCAGTGTGGCTGCACTGCTCCTGTGATTTGAATATATTAAAGTTTAGCATTATAGTTGTTGCTCAGATCTTGCATTCTTTAGCTTTTTTGCATACTATAAATGTTCTCACTTTATAGAGTTACTTATCTTGTATTTTTTTAGATTTACTACTGGCACTTCAGTCCAGCAGTAGCGGGGGCATTTAACAGTATTTAGGGATGTCATACAGGTATAGGGCAACATAAGAAAATCTGTATGTTACTAGTTCACTGTCTTCTCAGATACAGGGTGGGTGTCAGTTTTTGTTTAGGACCGGGCTCACCTATAGGACCGAGCTCACCTATAGGACCGGGCTCACCTGTAGGACCAGGCTCACCTATAGGACCGGGCTCACCTATAGGACCGGGCTCACCTATAGGACCGGGCTCACCTATAGGACCGGGCTCACCTATGGGACCAGGCTCACCTATGTGACCGGGCTCACCTGTAGGACCGGGCTCACCTATAGGACCGGGCTCACCTATGGGACCAGGCTCACCTATGGGACCGGGCTCACCTGTAGGACCGGGCTCACCTATAGGACCGGGCTCACCTATAGGACCGGGCTCACCTATCGGACCGGGCTCACCTATGGGACCGGGCTCACCTATGGGACCGGGCTCACCTATGGGACCGGGCGCACCTGTAGGACCGGGCTCACCTATGGGACCAGGCTCACCTATGGGACCGGGCTCACCTATGGGACCAGGCTCACCTATGGGACCAGGCTCACCTATGGGACCAGGCTCACCTATGGGACCAGGCTCACCTATGGGACCGGGCTCACCTATGGGACCAGGCTCACCTATGGGACCAGGCTCACCTATGGGACCAGGCTCACCTATAGGACCGGGCTCACCTATAGGACCGGGCTCACCTATGGGACCGGGCTCACCTGTAGGACAGGGCTCACCTATGGAACCGAGCTCACCTATAGGACCGGGCTCACCTATGGGACCAGGCTCACCTATGGGACCGGGCTCACCTGTAGGACCGGGCTCACCTGTAGGACCGGGCTCACCTATAGGACCGGGCTCACCTATAGGACCGGGCTCACCTATAGGACCGGGCTCACCTATAGGACCAGGCTCACCTATAGGACCAGGCTCACCTATGGGACCGGGCTCACCTATGGGACCGGGCTCACCTATGGGACCAGGCTCACCTATAGGACCAGGCTCACCTATGGGACCGGGCTCACCTATGGGACCGGGCTCACCTATGGGACCGGGCTCACCTGTAGGACAGGGCTCACCTATGGGACAGGGCTCACCTATGAGACCGGGCTCACCTATGGGACCAGGCTCACCTATGGGACCGGGCTCACCTATAGGACCGGGCTCACCTATAGGACCGGGCTCACCTATAGGACCGGGCTCACCTATGGGACCAGGCTCACCTATGTGACCGGGCTCACCTGTAGGACCGGGCTCACCTATGGGACCAGGCTCACCTATGGGACCGGGCTCACCTGTAGGACCGGGCTCACCTATAGGACCGGGCTCACCTATAGGACCGGGCTCACCTATAGGACCGGGCTCACCTATGGGACCGGGCTCACCTATGTGACCGGGCTCACCTATGGGACCGGGCGCACCTGTAGGACCGGGCTCACCTATGGGACCAGGCTCACCTATGGGACCGGGCTCACCTATGGGACCAGGCTCACCTATGGGACCAGGCTCACCTATGGGACCAGGCTCACCTATGGGACCGGGCTCACCTATGGGACCAGGCTCACCTATAGGACCGGGCTCACCTATAGGACCGGGCTCACCTATAGGACCGGGCTCACCTATGGAACCGGGTTCACCTATGGGACCAGGCTCACCTATAGGACCGGGCTCACCTATAGGACCAGGCTCACCTATGGGACCGGGCTTACCTATGGGACCAGGCTCACCTATGGGACCGGGCTCACCTATGGGACCGGGCTCACCTGTAGGACCGGGCTCACCTATGGGACCAGGCTCACCTATGGGACCGGGCTCACCTATGGGACCAGGCTCACCTATGGGACCAGGCGCACCTGTAGGACCGGGCTCACCTATGGGACCGGGCTCACCTATGGGACCAGGCTCACCTATGGGACCAGGCTCACCTATGGGACCGGGCTCACCTATGGGACCGGGCTCACCTATAGGACCGGGCTCACCTATGGGACCGGGCTCACCTATGGGACCAGGCTCACCTATGGGACCAGGCTCACCTATGGGACCAGGCTCACCTATGGGACCGGGCTCACCTATAGGACCGGGCTCACCTATGGGACCGGGCTCACCTGTAGGACAGGGCTCACCTATGGGACCGAGCTCACCTATAGGACCGGGCTCACCTATGGGACCAGGCTCACCTATAGGACCGGGCTCACCTATAGGACCGGGCTCACCTATAGGACCGGGCTCACCTATAGGACCGGGCTCACCTATAGGACCGGGCTCACCTATGGGACCGGGCTCACCTATGGGACCAGGCTCACCTATAGGACCGGGCTCACCTATAGGACCAGGCTCACCTATGGGACCGGGCTCACCTATGGGACCAGGCTCACCTATGGGACCGGGCTCACCTATGGGACCAGGCTCACCTATGGGACCAGGCGCACCTGTAGGACCGGGCTCACCTATGGGACCAGGCTCACCTATGGGACCAGGCTCACCTATGGGACCAGGCTCACCTATGGGACCAGGCGCACCTGTAGGACCGGGCTCACCTATGGGACCGGGCTCACCTATGGGACCAGGCTCACCTATGGGACCAGGCGCACCTATAGGACCGGGCTCACCTATGGGACCAGGCTCACCTATGGGACCAGGCGCACCTATGGAGGGCAGAATCATGAGCCACCAACTTGACTTTAGCATCTCCTGAGTGGTGGCTGGTTAATCCTCAAGCCAGGTGACAGTTATTTTTAAAACTAATTTGGCTTGAATTCTATACCTAACCACCAAACTAGTTGTATACACAGCAACATGCATAGGCAATTGGTATACAGAGTAGGAGAGCACATCCCAAAGTTGACAAAACAAATACAAGAACACTATGAACATTTGATAAAAACCAACCACTATAAAGGAGCTCATATCTATAACATACCATCTGCTGGATGATGTGAGGAAAGTACTGCATGGTGTATTACACACAAAGCTGTTTTGTGGTAATATCCTACAGAGGAAAAAGCTTTGGGAGTAAACCCTGAGGAACAATCTGGAACTGGGATCTCTAGAGCAGCTGAACAGTGTTTACATTGCTGCTCCTACAATGTCTTCAGTGCCAAGGTATTTGTCATTTGCATTTCCCTTGGCATTACCAGTGATGTACAGAGAGGGTATCTGCAGACTAGACAATAACCTGCACTCTATTTAAACACACCCAGGCCTGTGCCCTGTAGAGGTCACTAAAGCATTGCTCAACAGCTTGATCATTTACACAAAGGGTTCAGTGTCAAGAGGCAAAAGAAGCGCTTGGGGCTTTTTAGCAAAAGTTAATGGTCGACGTTTGGTGCAGGAGAGCCTAGCATATGATACATTCAGCTTAAGAATGGAGGTGGAGGTGGTCACTGCAGCTTTCCGCTGGCTAGAGAACACGACACACACACACATCGTGATTGTAACTGATTCAGAAAGCATGCTGAGGAAGATCAGAACAGGTATGCTTTGTGCAGAGTGGCATGCTTCGCTGCGGAGGACACGAGTGAGGAGTATTGTCTGGATTTTTTCACCAGGTTACACCGGTGTGTTGGGAAATGAACAGGCGGACAGATTGGCTGGCTATGCACAACTTGGTGGAATACTGCTACATGATAGGGCAGACGTGGTTAGTGCCTTGTGGGAGAGCGTGTACAGTTTGGAGGAGCAGATTGATCACCACAGTCTGGTGAGATTGATGCAGTGGGGAGTGACGAGAGGTTCTGGCAGATGCTCGAGGCTCAGAGGAAAGGCAAGATGGACATTTAATCAGAAAGCTACTGGCACCATTAGTATCGGAACTCTTCGCTGGCTGCTGAAGATGGGGACGGAGCGCTTATGGGAATGCCCCGAGTGCTGTGATGTCGGTTCTTGAATCAAATCAAATCAATTAACAGCATGAACACATCACGGGAAGCAGTCATCTAAGCATTGGCACTAGATCAATATTACTCCCACTATACATTGTGACCTTCAACTTGTCAAGATCATCAGCTGCTTTCAGAGCACAGATTCTGGCACAGGCACTCCCTGGTGTTCAGCACAGTAAAAATACTTCCAAGCAACGTGCATCAATCAAAGTGGCCGGGATGGAGAGCATCTTCATAGACCAAATTAAAAATCCATAGATAGTGACAAGTTGCAGAAACCTCAAGTACAACTCTACCTGGCCCATCAAATTTGGATGCTGGTGATAGATGGAAACACCTGAAAAATGTTCGATATGACTCATTTGTGTCTGCAATTGACAAACCCAGTTACTAGACTGGTTTAAGGCTGACAAAGAAAAGATGCTGCAAGTAATAGAAGAGAAGAATGGTGCTCTTCGGCATTCAAGAATCTGCCAAATGATAGAAACCTACAACTCTTTTGGACCCTCCAGAACAGAGTCCATAAAACAGCACAGGGCTATGCAGGACAGGGCAGATGTTGTCAAGGCCCTTTAGGAACAAGTAACGGAATCAGTAGAGAAACAAGATTATTACAGCCTGGAGAGAATGAGGCACCTGGGTGTAACCAGAGGGTTTGGCCGACTCGCTACACTCAGAGGGAAGGCAAGACGGACATATAATCAGATTGTGATCGGTACTATGTATTGGAACTCTGTGCTGGCTGCTGAAAATGATGACAGAGCAGGCATGGGAATGCCCCGAGTGCTGTGATGTCAATTCTTGACTTTAACTAACAGCAAAAGGCTTTGCCAACAACTGGATCAGACTTAGCAGATACAAATGCCAGCCAAAATTGGCAACAAAAGGGTTATTTTTGATAGCATCAAGAAGGTGGCCAGACAATATAAAGAAAATTAGCCCCTCCCCCAGCCACTGGTGAGGTGATGAAGGTTCACATAAAGCAACTGGGATGGACTATAAATGGAACAGAGCACTATTCTAAACTCTATGACCACTTATGTAAGTGCTGATGTTTAAAACGCAACTGAGTGTCTGCGGTCCGTGGGCAAATTATACATGGAGCCTTTCATCGGTCAAAATGGACGTTAGGCAGCGGCACTGTTCGAAACAGAGGCACATTTTTTTGCTTCTGCCGGACGGTGGCTGATGCATTTTTGTTCCATTTGTAGACTGGATATAGTTTCATCGCCCAGCTTCTGAGTTGAATGCATGGTGTGACCCTGTGAGCTGCGGATTGCATTTGGAATGTTTTTTCGGCTGTGACCAACATATTGGTGGGAATTGAAGATTCAGAAAATGGCGTGATGCCTGTCGTGCAGTGTTGTGGTGCCCGTATGTGATTAAAATTTATCGCGTGGGCAACTGCTGATCTGTTGGTGACTTCTGCTACCATCAATGATGAACTGCAATTCTAATACTGTGATAAACATTCTGTGTGTTTTTCGTTGGCACAGGAGCGGAGCTAAGATGGGGTGACCCGTTTGCTATGAAGCTGAAACTAAGATTACCAGACTTCCAAAGCACTGAACGGGCTTCCCGGAGGCAATGTAAACTATCCTAACAGAGCCAGCTATTCTTCCTGAGCTGCACAAGACTGTCAAAGTTGCAAGAAAATGTGGTGCCTCAAGAAAAACAGGCAGGACAGAAGGGATTGTAATAAATATCATGACACTTCATCTGTGCTTCCACACTGTTCACGACTCCCCCCCCCCCCCCCCCACCCCCCACCACCACCAAGGGCCATAACACCATCTACACTGGCATGCATCATTTCACCACCAAGTTGTGCAGAATCAGCTAGTCTATCTGCCTATTCATTTCTGAATACACTGGCATATCATGGGGAAAATATTCAAAGGACGCTAACTTCCCGGGACCTCTGAAGCAATTCATGGAACATACCGGAAACTGCACTTACTGCTGAAGATGTGGATGGAGTTCTTATGGGCATGTCCCTAGTGCTGTGATGATGATTCAATAATTAAACTTTAATATCGGTAAAGTCTCTGATCATTCTATCCTAAAGAAATTTCAAATTCTAGCAGACAATGCATACCTGGAATCACCATGTGGGTTTAGAGCACTGAGACCAACTGTAGATGTGAACTAGAGAAAATACTGATTCTCATTAACTGCTTTACAAATGTATGCAAAAAAATTTGGATACACCATCAGTCTCAACAAAACACAACTGACAGGGATGAATCTACTACAATGTGATCAAGAAACTTAAAGAAGAGAGAAAGGGGAACAACACAAACAGACACACACAAAAGATAGGAAATTTTGGCAGAAGCCTTTAATGACAAAAATCACAAGGGCAAGAGTACACTGGCTAGTAGTTGTCCTTTAGGGTTCTACTTTAGTTTTTTTTTTTAGTGTTAGTGAAGTTACTTTTATCTTTGCTGTTGTGGCGTTTGTCAATATGTTTCCTGCTAAAATGTCTGATTATTTTTGTGTATGTGCGTTTACCCCCCCCCCCCCCTTTTTTTTTTGACTGAGCGTCTTGGTCACAGTAAGTGGATTAATTTCAATATATTAGTGTGACTGCAGTCATCCATGTTTTCATGACCCAACTGAGATGATCACGGTAAACCCACCATGTTCACTATCATGAGTTGTTGATAAACCCACTATGTTTATGATCATGAGCTGTTGATAAACCACCATATTTATGATCATGAGCTGTTGATAAACCCACCATGTTTATGATCATGAGCTGTTGATAAACCACCATGTTTATGATCATGAGCTGTTGATAAACCGACCATGTTTATGATCATGAGCTGTTGATAAACCACCATGTTTATGATCATGAGCTGTTGATAAACCCACCATGTTTATGATCATGTGCTGTTCATAAACCTACTTTGTTTATGATCATGAGCTGTTGATAAACCCACCATGTTTACGATCATGAGCTGTTGGTAAGCCCACCATGTTTACCATCATGAGCTGTTGGTAAGCACACCATGTTTACGATCATGAGCTGTTGGTAAGCCCAGCATGTTTACCATCATGAGCTGTTGGTTGCATATTAATTTGAGAACCCAGGCTTTTGAATCGCAGACAATATTTCTAAAGATACAGAACTAAGCAGATGAAAAGGAAAGGCTCACAACAGGAGTGGGTTAAAGTAAATACTGAGAGACAGGACCACAACCTAAGTTTATGAAGCTTTGTCTGGACTCTGCATGCCGCTCAAGGAAAAAAGACTGAATACTTTCCAAGTGTCGAATAAGATGCATTTTTTGGGTGTATCATTCTGAGACTTTGTGCCCCAAAGAATGTGTCCTCAGAAGAGCAGGAATGCACACAAAAAAGTATTTTCAATGGAAACGAAGACTTCTGTGCTGACTTCAAATGTCTCTCACCCGGAAGACGGTCACATTTTAAAGGATCTCCTGTATGGTGAAGTGATAACAGGGAAAAGATCTGCAGAAAGGCTAAAGCTACACTTTAGGGACATACACAAATGTGCTCTGAAAAATACCAACAGTGACAGACATTTGGGACAGATGAGCTGCAGACCGAAACAGTTGGAGCCAGACAGTGAAATATGGACTGTCACACTATGCAAGTGGCCTATGCAACAAGTGACAGAGATGAGGCTTTGGAGAGAAAACCAGCCTCAGTATAATAGAGTATTTTATGTAGTTTTTTTTTTTAAATCTGTTTGACAGAGATTGCTAGTCCCACATAGGCATTCACAAACAACAGCTCTGAGGTCCCTGGAGACTGACAGCTACCTACACAAATCTACAAATATCTA